TTAGATCACCCTGCCTCCTGGTCCTAAGAATATTTTTCACGAAATGCCTCAAGCTCTCTTAACCGAAACAGATAGTGTCGTCCACCTATTGAAATCGCCCCACAGACTCTGAACGACAATGACTAACTGGCGAGGTCCCCCTCACGCCCTTCCCTCCTAACAGACGAATATGAACTCTTGCCCCCCCCCTCCCCTTTCTCCGAGGATTTCGAGTAAGCCCGCTACCCTGAAAAAGTGTCTGACTTTCTGTAATGGAAGCTAGGTATTAGTGGGCATTATGTAATGGACTCCAACCCAGCTAACCTTTCATTTAAAGGGCTGCGATGGCGGCAGTGCTAGTCTTACTTACAAAAACATAAATACTTACTAAATGTCGGTCAATGAATAATAATAATTATTAAATGTAAACAGGTGGAATGTACTTACAGAATTAGAACGCGGATTTCTTTTTCCTTCTGTTTTAACTTCTTTAAGATTGTCAAGAGACCCATCCTAAATGAAATTCACTGTGGCGGATATTTGCTGCTCGGCTTTTCGAAGATCAGTAAAACTGGCTATTTGCTATATTTCCTGCCGAAAGAAAAAGAAAAAACAAGACTTTTTTTGTAAATTCCACCGAGAGTATCCATCAGAGTGCGAAAATGGAACTGTTCTGCTGACTAAGAAGAAATTAATCTGCAAAAAACACGATTAAAAGGGAAATTGATAAAGTTGATAAAAAAAATTATGAGAGACTGGGTCTGTTCGCATTTGTGCCGGCACCAAAAGCGGTCGTTGCCTACCTCCTAAACATGCGCCTAGTAAAGGTTCTGGGAGATGAGAAGTGGTACCAACGCCGACTCATCTCAATCACTCTGATGGACTAAATGAAACTTTCGCTTGCGCGCTAGGATCCGGGTTTACCTAGGCTTGCACCTACGCGTACTCAGTACGCTGTTGACAACAGTACAAACGCCTCAAAGCTGAAATCGGCTTTTGTGACAAACCTCAGGCGGATGTCAGGCATGTGCCAGACGTCAGCATATTTGTTGCAGGGATCGGAATGTCCAGAAGGGAGAATGTGACGCACCTATAAGGCCACGACGAGATGGAAAACGAATGCGCAAAAGACTGCGCTGGTCACAATTAAAAGGAAGTATAGACGAGTTAAGTCAAGTAAGACTTCCAGGTAACGACAAGGGAAACTGAAATGGCCATATCTGGTTTATTAGCCGTCATCCGGTAATCTACAGCCGAGCCTATATCCACTTTAACGGAGACCTTTAACGTCGAGCGGAAGCAATTAAGAATAACGGAAAGGACTTCAGCAGCGAGATAAAGAAACGTGATGTCACGGCAGTTTTATGCAGCGATTGACGCCTTAAAGAGGCATGTAGTGATAGCGTGGATCCAATCGGTGGTCTT